TCTACATTACTCCTAGTAATATTATGCAGATTGTGGTGAGAGTACACACTTTGGTGTTCTCGTTCCTAAATGAATGAGCTGGACTGTTGATTGGCAGTACACGCAAAAGTTTTAGGAGTAAGATTAACTTACAGCAATCAATAATAATTCAGAAACACAAAACAGAAATTTGTAATTTAAAAATAAGGATTAAAAATTAATGTATCAATTTCTTCATAATATCAGCAGCAGCAGCATCATTTCTTCCTAATAGTTCTAGTTCCAGTGCTTCTATTAGTTTTTATTAGGCCAGTCTCTATCAAATGATGTATCATTTCCTTATGACAGACAGTACCACACGGTAATACCTTATTGGTCTTATAGTACAAAGTTGCAAAGCGGCAACACAATAATGACAGCAGTAGTAATAATAAGAACAGTAATATTGACATTATGTGTATAGTATTAATAAAAAACTGTGATATCATCATGTACTGCTCATCTTTTAAATGTTCTTCAGTATTCTTCAGTTATAGAGACTTCATAGCAGACCAGGAGACATTACTGCTTGTATTTCTTCTCTCTGCTGTTGTTATTTCTGGTGGTCATTTTTATAAGGAAAACAAAGTAAAGGCTCGTTTACAATATCATGCTAGTTTTGACATTATGTTGACGCTGAAATAGAATCTGGTTCTATTCTAGTGGAAAGCCTGCTTCAAAAGGTCAAATCACTGACGTTTTTGATTAATAATTGACAGTATGCTGGCCTAATGTCACATTGTAAACCGGCCTTAACTGTAAGCATGCATAATAATTGCTGGACTATGTTGATCAGGAATAGAAGCTTTTGGTGCAGCATATGCTGGATTGAAAAGAATTTTCTGAGTATGACTATCATATGACAGCAAACTATTATTGTTGTCCTCTCTGATAGTAGTTCGCATATCGTCGTGTGTTACAGTGTCAATCTTCATAAGGGTATTTATTTATTATCTTAAGCTCATAAATGGGCAATTACCGTATAGCGGGTTAATTTCGTATAGCTTCAAATTTTCGTAATGATAAATAAAAACGAAAATTAGATTTATTAATATTAATGATCAATGAATAATTAATTTTTATAGTTATTATAACCACTTAATAAAATACCACAAGCACACAGCCACACACATACTTCAGCTGCAGCTGCACAGTGCACAGTGACTTCTCTAACTCTCAAGTCAAGACATTAAGTGAGTCAGGAACTGTCAGGCTATCTATTCTCAATTAAAGATGACCTTAGAACGTTATTTTCAGCGTCAGTTACCCTTGCCAAGTGGTCCACTATCAGCACAAGTACCATCAGTGGCTATAGCCTCTGCAAACAGAGAAGTAAGAAGACTGATGGCTGACTCAGCTACTTCTATTGAGAAGAAGAGAGGAAATTATAGAAAATATACTCCTGAAGAAAGAGCTGAAGTAGGTTGCTATGCAGTGGTTCATGGTATTACAGCTGCAAAAAAGAAATTTTCAGCAAAAATGGGAACTAAAATTAGCTGCAGTACCATACAGGGGATAAGAGATGCTTATAAAAAGGAACTAGCCAATAGAAAGCATGCTAATGAGGCACCATCATCTTCAAGTACCGCTATCACTATATTACCACAGAATAAAGA